GGGTGAGTGTCTTAGAAGTTAGCGAGTTACCTCGGTTTAGGCTTGCGCTTAGGCTTAGGCTTATTAGGCTTGGGCTTAGGCTTAGGCTTAGGCTTAGGCTTAAGATTGGGGGAGTGCCTTGTGAGGTCAGCACCTGTCTATAACCCCCCATTTCCAGATGGCCGCCAGCGAGCCTGACTTGGCGAGCCCTGTGGGCAGCGCCGAGTTCATGGCCCCGGAAGTGGTCGACGCTTTCGTCGGTGAAGCACTGAAATACGACAAAAAGTGCGACATGTGGAGTCTGGGCGTCATCCTCTATATTATGCTCTGCGGGTATCCACCATTCTACGGCGATTGCTCGGCCCAGGATTGCGGATGGGACATGGTGAGTGATTGGGCATGCCAGCAGAGATCATTTGGGAATGGAAGGGGCAGGCCAGCAGAGATCATTTGGGACTGGAAGAGGCAGGCTAGCAGAGATCATTTGGGAATGGAAGGGGCAGGCTAGCCGAGATCATTTGGGAATGGAAGAGGCAGGCTAGCAGAGATCATTTGGGAATGGAAAAGGCAGGCTAGCAGAGATCATTTGGGAATGGAAGGGGCAGGCTAGCAGAGATCATTTGGGAGTTTTGTCATCCCCACTTTCCAGGGCGCTCAATGCGAAGAGTGCCAGAACAACCTCTTCCAACGCATCCAAGACGGGTACTTCGAGTTCCCGGATGAGGAGTGGAGCAACATCTCCGAGGATGCCATGGATCTCATTGGGCATCTCCTCGTCCGCGACACCAAGTTGCGGTAAGTCTCTCTCTCTCTCTCTCAGACTCTATCTCTAGCTCTCGCTCTCCCTCTCTCTCAAACTCTATCTCTCACTTCAGGTACACGGCTGACGACGTCCTGGCGCATCCGTGGATGACGGGCGGTGCTCCGACCACCGAGCTGCTCACCCCGGGCAACCTGATCCGGAACGACTCGACCAGGGACGTCCACCAGATCCGCGAGACGTTCCAGGCGATGAACCGCATCTACTCGGGCCGGATGAGCCTCAATCGAGAGGTGAGAGAGGGAGAGAGAGTGAGGGAGAGCGAGAAAGAGAGAGGGAGCGAGAAGGAGAGAGAGTGAGAGAGAGTGCGCGAGAGAAAGAGTGAGTGAGTGAGAGAGTTAAAGCGCGTTTTTTTTATTTAAAGGCCCCTTAAAACGTCATTTTCAGGCATCGCAATCAGCCCTCCCGACCCCGGGTCCGGGCGATCTGCCTCCAATGCCACTGCTGAAGATTGAGGAGATCTGGGACGAGAAGACGTCGCAGGGATCCCCCACCAAACCCCCGCCAACCTGGGCCGAAGAGGTGGAGAATGACGAGATGATGTTCCCCGTCTTTGGCATTGGCCTCGAGAATGATGCCGCCGTCCAGCAGTACTCCTCCAACTACTATAATGTGAGGCTTAAGGGAAATGTGATGACTTCCTAAAAGGATTAAATTACTCGGTACTGGGCTGCTACCGGGGGGATTTTAGTAGGATGAAAACGAATTTTTCCGGTAATCTTGTACGGTCCTTTAATACAAAAAATAAACCATTTTATAAGATTTTACACAGTTTTTAGAGAGAAAACGCTCATACAACTCCCGAAAAATTTTGAAAATCTTAGTAGTTTTGGTCAAAAGTGTACAAAAGTTGCCAAAAAGTTCAAATTTTCGTATTTGCAAAACTTTTTGAAATAGTTTTGTAACTTTCTAGCAACTAAAAAATTACTAAAAAATATAAAATACACATTTAGTCCTAAGGATTAGTTTAAGGCGGAAAATTAGGATTGAAGAAGAAAAATTTTCGAAAATCTAGTTTCAGAAATTTTTCTAAAATTTCTAAAACAAAAATTTAGAAAAAGCGGATTCAGGCATATTAGTTTTGCCCTCTGTCAAAATTTTTAAATCATTTTTGAAGCTTTTCCAACCTCTTTAAACCGCGATTTTACAGTACGACACCACGGAGGAGCCGTCCAGCTTCAAGCCGAGCTCGGCCAAGAGCCTCACCGCCATCGAGACGTGCCAGTCGGCCCTCGCCCGCCAGGACTCCGCTACGGACACGCGCCGCGAGCAGAAAGTCGACGCCTAAAACGCGACCCGGATCCGGCTACAGTACTCCCAAAAATGCAGAAATAGCCATGTAGATAGCTTACTTGAACCTACCCGTACCCCCGGCCCCTGACAACTACTTTTTGCGTGTAACCCGGGTCCCCGAATGCCCCCCGAAACAATGGATTACGCCATGAAAATGCGGTGATTCCGTTACGATACCTAGTTACGCTTCAAAAACGGAGCGAAAATAGATATTTTGGATTTTACGTGCTTCTAAAATAGCCATTTTTTTGTTATCTAAGCTACCGTAACCTCCAAACTCGCGTGATTAGTACTGTAACGGAATCTCCGAAATTTTCAACCCTTCCACCCGGGACCCGGGCACTTTACTCCCCGAGACGTGTAGGGCGAGACTGACCCGTTTTCTGGGGTTACTGTAGTGCTACAGTGCGCCACAGTACGCCCGTACTTTGGTGTATATCGTAGCCTTCGGTGGCCCTTTAAATAGCCCAGTCTCGACCCCAAACTCTGTGTACATAATTGACCCCTATGCCCTGATCTGTCTGTACCCTGTATTCTGTATTCTCCTGTACTCTGTACTTTGTAGTTTCCCCCCACTTTTTCACTATCTATCTCTCGCTCTCTCTCAAACTCTCTCACTCTCTCGCTCTCTCCATCTAATGATCTGTCATTTTCAGGGGCTTCAGGCGATTTTTGAGCGGATTTTTGGAGTTTAAAGGGATGGTGACAGCAAGGATTTTGTCGAAAAGTTGAATAAGTCGGGCCTAAGGCGAAACCCAAGCCTTTAAAGGCCTATTCAAGCCAAAAATCAATCGAAAATCGCCAAAACCCCCTCATTTTCCCGTGATCACTCCATCACACACCCTGTGAACGCTATGGTCTCACAACCCTCGGAAACACCCGTTTTTCCGACCCACACCAACTTCCGACGAGCGTTTTTGGACTGAATTCAGCTTTTTGAAGCTAAGTCGAGTCCCGAAACGCTCCCAAAAAATCTCTGGGCTCCCTAGGATTTCCCTAGTTCCATCGTCTAGAACCACAAACACCACCACCACCAACTCGCGAAATTCTATTTTGCGCCCCGTTTTTGGTCTACCGTAGTCTGAAAATTGATTTTTTGCAGCTTGGCAAGTTGCCAAACGTGAAATTTAGCGTTATAATGCCTTAACATGCTTAAAACGCGTAAAAAATTTTTGCCAGCTTGCCAAGCCCTTTAATTTTCGAAGTTCGGCTCCAAAAACCCGATTTTTGAATTCCGATGATTACGGTAGCCCATCCACGCTCTAAAACACCATCACCAGATGCAATTCTGGCCCAATTCCACCCACACTACACAACGCTACAAGCTACAAACTACAAATTCCCATGCGGCGTATACCATACCACCCCCACCACCACCTTTGTCGGTATTTTTCGACATTTTCGACATTTTGCTACCGGTCCGCCGCAAATGAAAACGACAGAAGCGGGCCCCACCACAAATTCACTCAGTCTCCACGCTGAAAAATCCCGAAAATTCGGTATCTTTATCGATTTTTTTTGGTGTTTTTCGGCATTGTTACACCCCCTACGAGTCCCCCCCGGATACTGTAGAATTTTGGGGTTACGGTAGAAATCAGAAAATTTGACGAAATTCGGCATTTTCTACCGTACCCCCGAATTTTACGGCCCAACCACTCCCCAGCCCCTAACTTATCTTGTTGAGAGTTGTTGTTACCCCGCACTCAAAAAAAAATTGTTACACCCTTTCGGCCTTTTAAAGGGACGGTGACACCCAAATGGATTCTTTTTAGAACGATTACGGTAGTTTAAAAAAATTACAAATTCAAATTTTTGGAATTTTTTTTTGCGATTTTTAAGACCAAAAAGCTAAATTTTTTGAATTTTTCTGGTGCTAATCTGGCTTAAAAAAGACTGTGCTTCATACTGTAAGGATCTAGCTTCCAAAACAATTTTTTTTCTAATTTTGAAGCTACCGTAACCCCCAAAAACCCATTTTCCCGTCACCGCCCCCCAAAATTCCACCACTTTCCTATCCACACCCCCCGCTCCCTTGAAACCCCCTTAAAATTACGTGTCGGCTGCCCCTTTTCCACCATTTTAAAGGAGCACTGAAGCCGCAACCCCCAGCAACGTGTCCCCCCAAAAAATCCGATCCAGGACAACCCCCCACCGTACCGCGTGTATTTCCCTACCTACCGTAGTCAGTGCCCTTGAACATTCAGCGAATCGTGTACCAACATCGTGTCAAGCCTTCCCCCCACCACACCACCTACTCGATCTAAATCTCGTCAAACCGACTGAACATGTGCACTGGATTATTCAGAATTACCGTATGTCTGGGGCGACTTGGAAACGGCGAAAAAGACGATATTTTGAGGGCTTAGGCTTAGGCTTAGGCTTAGGCTTGGGCTTAGGCTTGGCCGCTCTCGATCTATCGCCTATTTTTTTGAGATCTCCCGTTTCCACTTCCACCCCGGACCTTGATACCACCCTCAAAAATTCCCCTCGCTCGAATGCCAACATGTATACAGCAAAAACACGAGTTGAGAAAATAAACGGTTCTGAAAGCAAAAATGTTGTACAAAAATGCCGGAGATAAAAAACAGGACGAGAGAGAGCGCGAGAGGGGAGAGAGACAGAAAGGGGGAGAGGAAGAAAGAGAGAGAGAGTGAGAGCGAGAAAGAGCGAGAGAGAGAGAGACAGAGAGAAACAGACGCTATATAAAATTTTGTGAACCGATTACGCTATGAAACTCAGGGTTGCCAAGCGACTAGTGGCTGAGGATTAGCGCCAATTGTCTGAAAATGGCCAGACGCTCTTTTTCAAATTTATCGCTATATGTTGAATTCGTTCCCGGTTTTCAAGCCTTTTTTAAAATTGTAAGTTGTCACTTTGTGGTTTTTTGAAACTTAGTGTTCCAGAAATTGGTCAATTTTGTGCCAACCTGTGCCTTCCAAGTCCCTTTAAAACGACGAAAACAACTTTTTCTCCCTGTAGATCTCATTCATCTTCAAGGTAAAAACTATTGTTCAGGCCGACACGGCAGCTACTTGTGATCCCCGCGAAAATATCGTCCGACTACGCGCCGATCCCCGCGTCCGATAAGGGGGCAGTTGGCGCCGATATGGGGCCCAGATAGGCTGCCCACACAAACAGCACACAACCCCCGGGACAACGCGACGATTTTTCGCAGATATTTGCGAGATTTTTGAAGTTTTCTAAGTTTTGCAGAGACCGTGAGTTGTTGCATCACTATATTTTTGTCAAGATTAATCAAATTTATGATACGTACAAGAATTAAAAGGCATTAAACATTCTGAGCAATTTAAAACAGAAATTCCGTGAATTCTCTCCGTTTCAAGCCTTCTCTCCCTATTTTTCCGGCTTCCCCCTCTCTCTCTCTCTCTCTCTCTCTCTCTCTCGAATTCTAATGATTTTTTCAGTCTCTCTCATCGAGGGCTATTTGGCCTAACCGAGGACAAACGCGTAGGTTGGGTCTCTGCTCTCTCTCTGTCTCTCTCTCTCTATCTCTCTCTCACTCCCTCTCTCTTGCTATATCTCGCGCTCGGCCCTGCTTACTAGCTTTGGATGCCCGCCTGAGACTTTTGAGGTCCCGAGCCACATGCGGCGCGATACGGAATGCGACACGCAACGTACGCCCTGTGCGTTTATGCCAAACTTGCTGTCGGTGTCTCCCTTTAATAAAAAAACGCCACCCCAAATTCACTATAATATTGTTGTCCCAGTCCCCGACAAACATTTCCGGGTGTTGTTTCCATTCACCGGATCCTATTGGCCAGGCCGTTTGTCCTTTTCCCTAAAAAAACGGCTGAACAACAGAGTTCCAGGTCATCGCCCAGCAGCAGGCACACCAACATGCCGCGTGTTTGCATAACCGGTGGCGGCGGATATTTTGGCCAACGGGTCGCCTACGAATTTTTGGAGCAAGTGGGTGGGTCGAAACGGGGGATTTCCGCAAATTTTTCCAAGAAATAAAGCCCTGTAAAGGTAGCGGAACACGTAAGTCTTTAGCAAATTTACGTTCAATTTTAAAGGTATTGGGAAGCACAAAAACCCACCCCTTCCATGGACTGGGTCTAGACAACTACCCCATACGCCGAAATGCGCCTGAAAAAGATTTATACGCGTTTTCCGTGACTTTCTGTTACATTCTGGCAGCCGTTCCATATCTCTCTAGACCTAGCAGACATGAAGGGTCGGTTCATGCACTCCCTAGTACGTTTAAAATCAGATTTCCGAACACGAGGCAGGCCAGCAGCATTCCTTTGAGAATTCCGGCTTTATAACAACTTAGGGTTACGAAGCAAACCTCCTCGATATCAATTTTGAAGCCCCGCCCCCTGGAATAATGTTGGATCAAAAGAAAATAAAGATTTTCAAGGTAAATTTTGTGTTATTATAGGTAACCATGCTTGCTAAATTTTTAGGGCTCAATCCTCGATCGTAAACTCGTGGAAAACGCGCTGGGAAATTGCGACACCTGCGTCCACATTGCAGCTTATGGCATGGGAGGAAAAGGAGCAGTGGGTTGATGCAATGGTTCTTTAAAAATGAGCTTTATCTGTTTTTAGTGCAACAAGAAGCTAGTTTTTGCCACAAATGTCGACGGGACGAATCTTGGTCGATGGATATTTGCAGGGAGAACGGAGTGAAGAGGTACGGTATTTAGCAGGGCAGGCTAACAGAGAACATTTTTGAATGGAAGGGGCAGACTAGCAGAGATCATTTGGGAATGGAAGGGGCAGGCTAGCAGAGATCATTTGGGAATGGAAGGGGCAGACTAGCAGAGATCAGTTTGGAATGGAAGGGGCAGGCTAGCAGAGATCATTTGGGAATGGAAGGGGCAGGTTAGCAGAGATCATTTGGGAATGGAAGGGGCAGGCTAGCAGAGATAATTTGGGTAACCAGTTTTTCCAGGTTTATCAACTCCAGTTCCGTCGGTGTCATCTTTACAGACCACGAGTTAAACATGGTCGATGAGAGCTATCCCTACCCAGGGACTGTACGTTATACTACTCCTAGCGTTTATAGGTGTATTTAGTTCTACTCTTACTACTGTCAATCGAAGGCTATTGCCGAGAAGGCTGTCAAAAAAGCTAATTCCGAGAATTTTTCTACAGTATCGCTTCGGTATAGAGGGATATTTGGGCCTGGCGAGCCGAGGACAACGGCTAGAGCGGCGGTAGGTTGCTCTCTCTCTCTCTCTCTCTCTCTCTCTCTCTCTCTCTCTCTCTCGCTAAGTGTCATAATGCCATCATCTACCCCATTCCAGGAAACGATCCACCGAGGCCTGTATTTTGCCCGTTTCGAGCATAACACCCCGGCGATGACCCAGTTCAGCGGGCTCGACAACACCGCCAAGGTGTGTGCGCTGTTTTTGAAGGGCAAACGTCATTCAACCGCTTTTTAGGCATGTTGGCTAGCCGAGGTTGCCCTGAGGGACAGGAAGGAAATTGTTGGTAGGGTTTTAAATGATCAAGGAAACACGAGAATCGACCCTTTCAAACTACTAGGTCTCGACAGCTGCATAAAGTGCCAAAATCTTCCAATCAAAGTGCCGTTTGAGCGGTGTAACTCGTAATTTTGCGCGCTTCGTAGCTGTCTATAATGGGTCGTTTATCACGCTTGCCAGTCCCTTTAATAACTCGGAAATTAGACTTTTATAGGCGGGAAGGTATATAATATTGTCGATGGAGGCCCGCCCGTACCAAGTTGGGATTTTTGGATTCCGTTATGCCAGGTAATGGATAGCACTCTATCTCGCTCGCTCCTCTATCTCGCCCTCGCTCTTCCGCTCTCTCTCGCTCTCTGTCTCTCTCTCCCTCGCTATCTCTCACGCTTTAAAGGTATGAGCAACCTCATTTCAGGCCCTCAATCGCAGCCGCCCCTGGCTGGTCCTCCCCTTTTGGATGGTGTTCTACCTGGCATGGGCCTCAGAATTTTTGTGTGAAAATTTCGGCATTACTCCGTTATTCCTACGACTAGAGGTGGCCCTCGTTGGCTTCACCAATACTTATTCGATTGAAGCAGCCAGGAGGGACTTGGGCTACGATCCGCAGAACAACCACGATCTTAAAGGTAACGCCCTATTCTGTTTCTAAACGGGCTTGGAAGTCGGACTCGGCGGCGGGTTAGGAAAGACAATTGTGGAAAAGCAGACCCGGTTTGGTAACAGAGATCCTTGAGGAGATTAACGAATCAGACGTAGAAAAACAGAAAGCGAGAAAATCTGTATAGAGAGAGCGAGAGGGAGAGAGAGAGAGAGAGAGAGAGAGAGCGAGAGTGAGAGAGCGAGAGGCCCAAAGTACAAAAAACACTTATTTTTGAAAATATATAAAAGCACCACTTACAAAAGTGGTGAATTTCATAGCAGTATTCTAGGCTCCTTTTTAGGAACAATTAGCGTAGACCGAAGTGATTCGACTATAGAAAGGGGAGCAATAGGTAGTTTTATCATTTTTTGGTCATCTGAATTCAGCAAAATTATGCAAAGTGAAGGAAAACGGGCGTGGGATTCAGGGTTGACAAGTCGCAAGCGGCTTTCAACCCCTGGTGGCTTTTAATTTTATAAGTTTTTGGTTTTCGCTATATTTTTCAGAAACGGCGGCATACTATAAACGACACTATGCTGAAAACCCCAGCTGGAGAATCGATTGGTCATTTTTGCTTGCAGTAACTGTTTTGTTCTTGATGTCATTTTTATTCACATTTGTTTGGTGAGATCCGTTCACAACACGAATAAAGGCATTGAAAACTACAAAGTATTACGGGGAAGCTTTCACACACACAGCGACTCGATATAGCACAGAGAACTGTTGGAAAATCAATTTGGGGAAGAGTCGATTGAACTTTGAAAAATACGGGGAGATCCATTTTAAAGGGACGGCGACACGTGAAGCTTTGGGTTTCCTTTCCATTAATTAGTAATAATCTAGAAAACATTTGTTTATTTTCGAGGTCTTCCGAAGCCTTTCGGGCTGGAAAATCGGCTTGGAAAACACAATAAAACATGCAAAAATCTGTAAAATTAGTTATGGTGAACGTTCAGTGAAAAATACATGGCATAATCGATCAAATCCCGGCCCCAAAACTTTACTGTCACTTTAAAAATCGCGTCACCACTTCGGGTTCAACTTGTGCCAGTGAGCGACTGGGGTCTCGGAGTGGTCGAGCATCTAAAAAACGGGGTTACGGCGGATAGGGCAACTTTTAGGGAATTTTCAAAGCCATGAAAATCATCAAAATTTTCAAAAATAAGATACTGTGGCGATGGCAATTTTTAGAGAATGAAGAAGTCAGAAGCTCGCCCTCTACCTGTTTCCAGTGTTGCGCGCCGAGCTCCGATCCCAGAGGGCCCAAGATGGCGTGCCCGATCTCGTCGTTTGCTCCGATTAGGTCATAGTCCATAACCTAAAAACCTTGGTTTTTGAGTACGAACCAGACGATCTTCTCTCTCTCTCTCTCTCTCTCTCTCTCTTCTCTACCTTTCTCTATCTCCCCCCTTACCGTAGCCACCAAGTTCACATCAGCCGTCAGCATCTCCTTGTTCGGTACCGGAAACGCGAAGGATCTCGTTGAAAATTGGCATCAGGGTCTGAAAATGATCATGATCACGATTTTTGCATTTCTTTGGTCGGTGTAAGCAGTGAAGCTCCGGAATTCCAAACCATACCTGTGATTTAACGGTCAGTTCTCCTCTTCTCCATCTTGTTGCCCTGCTGGACGAGCCACAGCTTCACGTAGGGGTCTGAAAAGGAGAGGCCCTCTTCTTTCTACTCCTTCTTCCTCTCTCACCTCTCTCTTCCCTACTCTCTAAAACTCACCAGAACTCCCAGCCAGCTTATCCTTCGCCGGAAGCTCCTTTGCCCGGATGACGGATACGGTAATTTTGTTGTGCTCTGGGAGGTAGCAGAGTGAGAGCATGACCTCACCGCATTGTCTCTTAGGGAAAGAAATTTTTAGAAACTTGCCTTTTTCTTTCAGTCTCTGTTCTCTACTTTTTCTCTATCTTTCTCTCCCTCTCTCTCTCTCCCTCTCTCTCTCCTCTATCCTGCTCTTCTCTAGCGCTGTCTCTCACTCACTTTTCTCTTTCTTCTTCTTTCTTCTTCTTCTTCTTCTTTCTTCTTCTCTCTCTCTCTCTAAACTACAGTATACCAGACTCAAACTGCTCCAAAAGGGCTCATTCTGCTCTGCTCCGTCCATGAAACCACGAAACAACCATGAAAACAAAATTTCAATTTTCCGGCTAATTCGCTTGCCCCTTCTGCCTCCATTTTCAGGGCGCTCCAGTGTGAAGCTTCCCTCTCTATTGCTCGAGAATGGACCCCGACGGCTCGAGAATTCCGTCCCCAATAAATAATTCCGGCACGGTCGGGGTGGTGTTCTCTTTTTTGCTCGCCGCACAGAATTTCTGGCTAGAAGCTTCTGAATACAGAAATAGCCGTGATCGTTAAGGCAAACAATTTTTGTTCCGGCGTTTTGCAAAAATCTGGTACGAGCGAGAACGAGGGAGAGAGGAAGACAGAGTAGGAAGGCGAGATAGAGAGAGAAAGAGGAAGAGAGAGAGAGAGAGAGAGAAGAGAGAGAGAGAGAGAGAGAGAGAGAGAGAGAGAGAGGGAGAGGGCGAGTGAACAACGTCATTTTTGTCTTCACCTTAGTTTGACGGCTGGCTGCCGTGCGTCACCTAGTAGACCGGGCTGTGCTCGAATTTGACTGACTTCATCGGGAGCAAGATCTCGCCTGAAAAAGGGAAAGTTAAGGGTTTTTAAAAGGTGCATGACAATTAGGTTTTAAGTCTTTGAAACTGAGCATGACCACTAGGTTCTCAGAATTTTTAGGCGAACGTGACGGCAAAATTCTGGTTTTTTCAAGGATCGCTAAGTTTAATAAATTTTCGGATTTAAAGTGGCTTTTATCCATTTTTGGGCTTTTTGAAGGGAGCACGACCTCATATACCGTAACCTACCAATCGGATCATCAGCCGAGAACCGGTCAAAGTCCATGACTTGCATCACGAGAGTCATGTCGTGCAGCTTCTTCATCGAATGACCTGAAAAAGTCGGATAAACCAAAAATTTGAAATTTATTTTAGCTACCGTAACCTTTGGTGGTTTTTAATTTGATTTTTCATGATCAATGCTACTTTATCAGTTGAATTTTTATATTTTCATACTGACAGACCTTTAGAGTACATTTTGTACTAAGATCACGCTCAAAATAAGAGAAAATAGAACCAAATTCACTCAAAAATGGTCCCGAGTACGTCACACTACTGCTGACAGTACGAATACGGTAGAAGTACGGTAGAAGGGCGTACGGTTCAACTGTGGGTGCGTGGAGATGGTGCGTCGTTGGAGGGAGGAGACGGGTGCGAGCAGACCGCCGGGGACCGAGCCTTGAGATCCGGGGCTGAGGCCACGAAGTCGAGGGGCTGGTCTTGAGAAAGAAATCTTACAGTACGCTACGTGAGAACGGTGCTTTATGGTAGTTTAAAGTGACCGGGACTAGCTTAACGTACTTAAAAAATGCCTTAATCTCGCGACAAATGTGCGAATTGGTCTTTTCTATCTCCCAGGAATTTACCGTAGCCCCCGCGTTGCGTGTCGCGCGCTTGACGAAATTTACAGGGACTTCAACGTCAACAAAACTGGATCAGATCGATGACCTTCTTTTTAAAGGGACTGGCAAGCGATAGAATCGACCCCCTGAAAACGGCTAGGTCTCGAGCATTACGGGATACAAAAGCAGCAAAAAATCGTTGTTTTCAGTGCGGTTTACGCATGTTTGCGCGTACCTGGGGAGACCTAGTTGTGGGAAGGGTCGATTTGCGGGACTGCTGGCCCCATTAAGAGTATGATAAAGCCCGACTATCTAGAAAATATACATCTAGAAATTTTTATTCCAGCCTAATCAAAGTCCTCGGTGCCTTTAAGCCCCGAATTTCGCGAGTTTCGTTTGCCGTAGATGCACACCTCCTTGGGGAATTGCGACGGCGCGACGGCACCGACAGGAATCCGTGCATGGCGTGGCACGCGGCCAGCCTGTCCATCCAATGGCGGGTGGGGTACTGTGGCAGGCAGGTTTTATAACGCTTTAGAGGGCAAAATCAGCTTTACAAGTACCACAGTAAACTTGAGAAAAACAGAAAAATTACCCAAAATATACGCCAAAATTGCCACAAAAAAAGAATGAAAACCGCTGGCAAAAAAAACACCAAAAACGAACGCTCCAAAACAACATACCCAACCCGTTTTTTTGCAAAAAAGGCTCGTAGGTGCGCGAGTGTGTGTGCCGAAATTACTAGCAAATTCAGGGGTGATGGCGTGTGAGGTGGGGCGCTGTCGAGAGGAGAAAACGGAAAATCTCCGCGCGAAAACAGCCAATTAAGGTGGAGGAGGGGGAAAGCTTTTGCTCTGCGAAATCTTTTCTTGAGCTTTTTCTTACTTTGGATTTTCGTGTTTGTCCCTCTCTCTCACTTTCTCCCTCTCTCCTCTCTCTCTCCCTCTCTCCCCTCTCTCTTTCTCTCGCTTCAAAGCGAACGGGTCCAGGCTAAATTTTTGGAATAATCCTTACAATTCGCCTTAGAATATCGACGAACCAACTTCCGTAGCAATATTTTAAGAAATTTTTAGGCAAAAATATAGTTGCCGAATATATGCAAAATTAGTTGAAAATCCCGACTTAAAAAGGCCCCACCTGCACTGAAAAACAGGAAAGACGAATAGGTGCGCCCGGAAAAACAGAACCAAATTTTTCCCAAATAAAAATGACACCGGAAGTGGCTCGTAGAGTGACTACGAACCGGTCTATCGACAACAAAACTTTGGAACCGTCGTGCAAAAGAGACAACAAAAAAGGAATTGCACGCAAGTCGTAAAAATCTCTCAAATGATCACTGCTAGCCTGCCCCTTCCATTCCCAAATGATCACTGCTAGCCTGCCCCTTCCATTCCCAAATGATCTCTGCTAGCCACCTGCCCCTTCCATTCCCAAATGATCTCTGCTAGCCTGCCCCTTCCATTCCCAAATGATCTCTGCTAGCCTGCCCCTTCCATTCCCAAATGATCTCTGCTAGCCTGCCCCTTCCATTCCAAATGACTCTGCTAGCCTGCCCCTTCAGTATCCCAAATGATCTCTGCTAGCCTGCCCCTTCCATTCCCAAATGATCTCTGCTAGCCTGCCCCTTCCATTCCCAAATGATCTCTGTAGCCTGCCCCTTCCATTCCCAAATGATCTCTGCTAGCCTGCCCCTTCCATTCCCAAATGATCTCTGCTAGCCTGCCCCTTCCATTCCCAAATGATCTCTGCTAGCCTGCCCTTCCATTCCCAAATGATCTCTGCTAGCCTGCTCCCTTCCATTCCCAAATGATCTCTGCTAGCCTGCCCTTCCATTCCCAAAATGATCTCTGCTAGCCTGCCCCTTCCATTCCTAAATGATCTCTGCTAGCCTGCCCCTTCCATTCCCAAATGATCTCTGCTAGCCTGCCCCTTCCATTCCCAAATGATCTCAGCTAGCCTGCCCCTTCCATTCCCAAATGATCTCAGCTAGCCTGCCCCTTCCATTCCCAAATGATCTCTGCTAGCCTGCCCCTTCCATTCCCAAATGATCTCTTTAGCCTGCCCCTTCCATCCCAAAGTGATTCTGGGCTAGCCTGCCCCTTCCATCCCCAAATGATCTCTGCTAGCCTGCCCCTTCCATTCCCAAATGATCTCTGCTAGCCTGCCCCCTTCCATCCCCAAATGATCTCTGCTAGCCTGCCCTTCCATTCCCAAATGATCTCTGCTAGCCTGCCCCTTCCATTCCCAAATGATCTCTGCTAGCCTGCCCCTTCCATTCCCAAATGATCTCCTGAGCCTGCCCCTTCCATTCCCAAATGATCTCTGCTAGCCTGCCCCTTCCATTCCCAAATGATCTCTGCTAGCCTGCCCCTTCCATTCCCAAATGATCTCTGCTAGCCTGCTCCTTCCATTCCCAAATGATCTCTGCTAGCCTGCCCCTTCCATTCCCAAATGATCTCTGCTAGCCTGCCCCTTCCATTCCCAAATGATCTCTGCTAGCCTGCCCCTTCCATTCCGGGGCAAATGATCTCTGCTAGCCTGCCCTTCCATTCAAAAAATCCAAATGATCTCTGCTAGCCTGTCTCCTTCCATTCCCAAATGATCTCTGCTAGCCTGCCCCTTCCATTCCCAAATGATCTCTGCTAGCATGCCTTGGCCCCAAAACTTTTCCAAGCGCTAAGTACGTTACACACCTAAAGCCATACTTACAGTAATCGCATTTCGTGCATATACAGTCGACCAATAATCCAGGGACGGGCAGCATCCTCAGCTGTGACTTGCGCGAGGTGGGCATGCGGTGGTTCATTGGTCCAAGCGGGTTAGTTCGATGCGCTCCAGGCAACCATAGTGCAGTACTGTAGCAGGTTGTGGTTTGTAGTACTGTATCGAGTATTGTGTCGTAGCACTGTCTTACTGTAGTCCGCTGTAATAAGAAGAAAGTTGATGGAAAAGGAAGCCGAATGCGAGGCGGAGGTGCAAATTGGTCCCGGGGGGAGGGGGAGTTGGCTTCACCTGGGGAAGCCCAGGTGAAGCCCGAAATTATTTTTGGAGTTAAAAATGACAGTAATTACAGGGGAATTATTGGGAAAAGGGCGGATTCAGGTAAGCAGCGTAATTGCTAGTTGAAGGGTTGGAAAAAATGAGTAAACTTCTCGAGGATCAGAAACTATGGGGTAAATGGATTTTAAAGGGACTAGGAAATGGGAAAATCGACATCCTCCATCTACTGGGTTTCGACAACTACGCGAAACGCCATATTTTCATTAAAGCTGGGACAGCTTTTCGAATAATCACTTTTTTGAACAAATTATTCGTACTTTCAAGTGTGCTTTGGCGCGTCGCGCAGATTTTTATTCGCGCGGATCGAAAGGATCGATTCTGACGCTTATTTTTCTCTTAAACGTGTGTCTAGTAGTTTTTATTGCTAAAACGCTTTGAAAAATACGAAAAATTTACTGTTTCGTCATTTTTGATACATTTTCGGCCAAAATTCCAAAAATTTTTAATTTTTTTAGGTTTTTTTGAGCGTTTCTATCTAAAAACTGTGCAAAATGCCACAAAATTGGCGTATATTTTCATTTAAAGGTCTCGTAGAGGATTTCTGGACACATTGGTTTTTAATACAAAATCCCACCCCCCGCCCCGCTAACAGACCAGTACCGTGGAATTCCGACAAAATCGGTGTCGCCATTCTGATAGCAAATCAACTTAATGAAGAAAAATGAGTGCAGGGAAAGACTAACTTGTGTCAAAATGCTATCGAAAAGCCCGCCGGCTACCTGCGAAAATGAATCGCCTCAACTAACAAACTTTTTCGGTCGACTCTCGATTCGGCTGTCCCAGGTGGCGTGGGAAAAATCGAGTTCGTGCGCAACCTGATATTTATCTGGCCTTTACCTGGCGTAACCACATTATCTCGCCAACGCCTCTGTGGGGTACAGGTCATGCACGCAAAAAGGATCGCGGCGGAAAATTCGATTTTGGTCTGGTCCCCCGTGGAATAGAGTTACGGTACGGTTTATTATAGCGGAACTTAGGCCACAGATTTCGGGTTTTTGGAAATTTTGAAGGTATTGGCAAGGCAAAGCCAGAGCTGAAAGAACGCTGGCTTTAACGCCTCTTTTAAAGGGACTGGAAAGCTCCAGAATCGACCCTACCCTCAACTAGGCCTAGACCGTTACGAGAGCCACAAAAATACGCTCAAACCCATTTCTTAGGGGCTAGCAACATGCAATTTGCCTGTCTTTTGGCGCGTCGCGTAGTTGTCTAGACGTAGTCGGCCCCCGGACAGCCGATACGCGCGCTTCCTAACCTCTTTAAACTAGAATTTAACAAGCATCCAAACAAGCTCCAATCCGTTTAACACGAATCCCCCGCCCGGCTTTGGCCAGGCTTTTCAACGCCGCATTGCCCCCTAAATAATTCCTGGAGGCGGGTGGCCGCCCCTAGGTGCTTCCGGACCGGGACCACCACAGGGGGAGCAAAATTGCTCCCCAAAATGGGCCCTGGTCACCGGTACAAAAGCTGAATTTCTGGTTTACAGGGGCTTGGAAGTGAAAATCTACCTTACGATTTTACGAGGTCTAGACGGCATCAGGAGCATTGATGGCAAGCTAGCAGAGACCATTTGGGAATGGAAGGGGCAGGCTAGCAGAGATCATTTGGGAATGGAAGGGGCAGGCTAGCAGAGATCATTGGGAATGGAAGGGCAGGCTAGCAGAGATCATTTGGGGAATGGAAGGGGCATTAGCAGAGATCATTTGGGAATGGAAGGGGTAGTCTGGAGCGAAAAATCCAGAAAAACCCCCTCAATTTTCGACAGCTTTTTCAAAATTCATTCACGGCTCATCGCGCGAAGCACCCGGGCGTGAAACTGAAGCGGAAGTGTGGGAGGGTTTTTCTGGCGCCGTTTTTGGCGAATTTCCGCGGGGTGTTTGGTCGGGCGGCTAAGCGGAAAATTCAAATTTTTATTTTTCAAAATTTTTATGCATCGGCAGGTGAGAAGGAGCGGGAGAGAGAGAGAGAGCAGGGGTTTTTAAAGGAATAGCGCCAGGAAAGAAGGTTGTCAGTCAAAAAGAGAAAGCTGTCACCGTCCCTTTAGGGCAGTTTTCCTAACTTTTTCCACCAGATTTTGCTCTTCAAATACTTATATACGTGCCTATGCCCAAAGACTAATGCGTCAACGCGAAATTGGCCTATTTCGGGGGGTCCCACAGCGGCCCTTTCTAGCCCTCTTCAGCTTCTTGGCCCCTGGGCAAACATGAGTCACCGACGTGCGTAGATAGCTCGAGGAGAGGTAGCAATTCTGAAATATCAAGCTGGCAAACTAATACGCATTTGGTCACTTGCCCGTTACGAAAATTACAGTATATGAAGGACCCCCAATTTTGCCCTAGAGCCGCGGGGGGGGGGGCGCCAAAAATAGAAAACTATTTTGGAAATCTGGGGAAGAGTCGAAATATTTTTTCCGATTGCCATTTAGACGTCAAAAGGCGCGCCGTGGATTTATTTAGGAGTACCGGAAGTTGGTAGGAGAGAGAACGAGAGAGGAGAGAGAGAGAGAGAGAGCGAGCGCAAATCCGAAAAAGGTAGAATGAGATGCAATTCAGACGTGTATTTTTGAGTATTTTTGGTTGAAGGGAGATTTTCAAACCCAGAAAAATAAGAAAAACTTTCATACCAAACAAAAAAATAGTAAATTTTGGCCTTCTCGTTCCGCGGCTTGAGTCGAAGTGCCACCCCTGAAATCCGGGGAAACCCTGGAAAACCTGTAATTATGGGACTAGGGAGGAGCAGGCGCCAAGAACCAAAATTTTAGATTCTGAATTCCAAAGCAAATCAAGAGAATTTTTGCCACAAAAAAATGACTAAGTTCCGATTTTGGAACGCTATACGGTAATGCGGTTCAAAAAAAAACAATAATAATCAAAAATAATGGAGGCTGCCAGGAAACGAAAAAGGTACCAGGGGACCAGAAATAACCACTAGTTCGGTTTCTTTCCCTCCCCAAAGAGAGCTGAAGCGCCCACTTGCCGACAAAAAAAGTGCAAGACTTTTTTTCACAAAGAAAGAGCGATGATTGGGCATTTGTATTGGGCACTAGCTGGCGGCCATTTTTGGGCCCCGGGCCGTTAGCGGAAAGTCGGCTGGATGTCTTTGACTAATGTCCTGGGGCAACAGACGGATTCCCAGAGATCGTTGCGGCACTACTTCTGGCGCTATCTACGCATTAACGGCCTAGAACAGTCAAAACAACGAGCTTTTTTACCGTAAGTTCCGGAAAAATTCTAAAAACCCAATTTTAGAGATCGGATGAAGCCAGTGAAGCGTTTCTAGACGAGCAAGAGGCTTACTATCGGCCTTAAAAATCAACAACAATCATCTATTGTACTTTTTTAAAGAGCTGCTGCCGTCAGGATTATCGTCTAGAAAGCTGCCGCGTGGGAAAAAACGGAAAACTTTCGTTTGAAAGGGAATTGAATTTGAAGGATAGGTGAGGGCTCCGAAAAACACAAAAAATTAAAATTGAAAGGCACGTGGAAGTTGTTGATTTGCTGTCGGAAAAATTCGAAGGTCTAGAGATAGAGAGCGAAAGGGAGAGATAGAGAGAGAGAGAGAGAAAAGTAAAAAGTCAGAAGAAATTGACCAAGGGGCTGGTTAGAATCTTGTGGAGGTCTTCGGGAGTCCGTTCGATGCCTTAATGACCTCTTGGATCAGCAGTGAGGATCTAGAAAAAGGGAGAGAAAGGAAGAGCGAGGGACAGAGGGACAGAGGGAGAGAGAAAGAGAGAGAAAGAGAGTGAGAGGGAGCGAGACAACGCGAGACAGAGAGAACAAAAAACTAAAATTGCTCAAGTGTTCCCTTCTCTCTCTAGTCTCTAGAACACTGAATGTTTTTGTCGAATGGTCATCCAGAGGCCCATGTGATGGCGACCGTAGCGCCCGGGACGACGTCGGAAATGCCGGTGATTTACTCCCTAGCGAGCCACCCCCCACAACACAACACAGCAGAACGACACTACACGACGCTACAAAGCACGGGCTTCGGAATGGAATTTGTGGATTTTGGGTAGATTGCGTTTTAAAAATTTGAATTTTATGTTTTCCAAACGGAAAAATTATTTCTTTTTTCCAGTCGTATTTTCCTTTTTCATCTTTTAGTTTTTAGCAAAAAGATTTTTACATTGGATCTCAAGCAGCACTGAAAGCCCAAAACCAAAACCTTGAAACACGAAAAAACTTAAATTTCACGAAAAGTGGATTTTCCGGTATAAAATTGTTTTCATATAGTAACGAGACTTACCATTTTTCAGTTCTTACCTTCCATACCACTTGGAACATACATACAGACAAAAAGACAATAAGTCAGTAAAACGAACCCGGGAAAGACAACGTCTCGTTGAACTTCGGGCTGAGGTTTCGGCGATGAACCTGGAAAGGTGAAAATTTTTATTTTGCACTCCAATACCGTAACTAGCCGGTCTCAAACCAAAAAAAATCCGGAAAACTACCTACCTTTGTCCGCTCCCACTGCCTGGGGTATTGCATCAGAAAGACGCGGACGTACGGGTCAGAACTTCCTGAAAGCGAAAAATTGGAATTTAGAAAAGATATCGAAAGAGATGGAGAAAGAGAGAGAGAGAGAGAGAGAGAAAGAGACCGAAATCGTACCTGTAAAATCCCGAATCGGAAGCTGAAGCGCTTCGAGGATATGAACATGAAGCGTCGATGATTCCTTGTCATAGGACAAAGAAAAGTTTAATTTCCCTCGATTCTCAGCGACGACATCCGGTTTCAGGGAGTCGATCACTTGCTGGGACTAAATTGAGTTGTTCTCTATCGTCTCTCTCTCTCTCTCTCTCTCTCTCTCTCTCTCTCTCTTACCGCGCTCTTCCAGTGTATCGCGTTCGTCAGCTTGTTCTTCACCGTCGGCTGAACCGGTTTCGGCGCCCCAGTGGTGAGCACGAGCTCGGGGGCGAGGAGTTCGGGCCTGAAAATGTTGAAAATTCTCCCTCCCTCTCTCTCTCTCTCTTTCTCTCGCTCTCACTCTTTCTCTTTCTCTCTCTCTCTCTCTGTCTCTGTCTGTCTCGCCTAAAAATTCAAGGACCCCCGAAAACGTTTCCTAGCGTTTCGGGAGGGCCACCAAAGCTCCTGATCCTTCAAAAGGTCGACCGGATAATCCCGTGCCAATATATTCTCTCAAATTTTCCAATATTAGAGATTAGCGGGCGAGTTTTTCTCGAAAATGTAGACCTCTCCCTAGCACAACAGTTTTTATTAATAAAGGCGTCATTGTTTTTGGGGGCTTCGCCCCCCCCCCCCTGAAAATTACAAAGAACTTGTCGAGTACATCATCGGAAAACTTTTACGTACGTGGCTACTTTGGGTAAGTGGTTAAAGGGACCTAGCTGCCTGGATGACTTTAAAAATCGTCGAAATTTTTGCAAAAATCATGATTAGTGAAACGGACAAGGCATGACTAGGAATTTTGCTGGCTGTTGATACGGCCGCGCTCGCGACACGCAACACAAATGGGTAAGAGTTTCACTTTACCCCCCACCCCCATAGCCGAAGGGTCTCAAATTTTTCGGTATTTTCGCTTATTTTGCCGGGATTTTTGCAACGCGATTCGATAGAGCGTCGAAAAATATGCTAAGAGTTTGAATTTAAACCTACAATAATGTAAAATAAAAAAAGTTATAGCCAAAAACGTCCGGCTGGGGGGGGGGTTAAGTAAAACGTAGCCCACAAATGCCGCGGAATGTTGAATTAAAATATTTTGTTGTTTTTTTGGCTGGGTTTTGAAGGGTGCCCGCAAACATTTTTCATGAAATTTTGTCGTACTCAAATTTCGGCATTTTGAAGCTTCGGCATCATAGAATTTCAAAATTGTGAATTTCGACCAAGACGAAAACCACGACAAAAATTCCGAGATTATCTTTCCCATGCAATGATTTTCGACATATTGAAGGGGAGCCATGCGAAAGCCATTTGTATGGAAGCTTTGTATCCACTTCAAAATACCGAGGCGACGGCGCGTTGCGTGCAACAAAATTCATCAGCAAAAAATGGCATACGCTGCCCTGCAGGTTCCTTTAGGAATGCGCGTCACCTGGGCCTTTTCGCTTCTTTAAAAAAATATTTAGATCCGTCCTACGGAAGAAAGAAATCCTAAGCTAACTGGGGCAAAAAAAGCTGGATTTTGACTTGCCAATCCCTTTAAGTCGCAACTCACGCAAACAACCTCGCCGACTGCGCGCACTCGCACTGTGAGGCCTCATAATTCCGGCGGCGCTTCTGCACGAACAGCGCCAACACCAGCACCACCGCGACGCACCCCAGCGCGGCGTACATCTGGAAATGCTTAATTTTCGAGGAATATATGATTTTCAGGCCTAGATTAGGGCAATTTCTGGTTGGGCTTCATCTCAACTGCCGCCCGAGTTTCCTGGCCGCTGCAAGAAATTGTCTGGGAATTTCTTTGCCTTGCCTACGCGTGAGACTTGGCAATTTTTACCGCTTGGCTTTTTGTGGTGCAGTTTTTAGTCGAGGGCTAATTTCCGGGGGACCTTGGAAATCTCACCAAAACGCCGATCATGACGGCGGAAAGACTGTGGACCGACTCCGAGCCGTCCATAGTTCATCGACGGACTATTTTTTGGGAAGATTTTTAGTAATAGAGCGACGGCGAGAGGAGAGAGAGAGAGAGCGAGAGAGAGAGAGCGCGAGAGAGCGAGAGAGCGAGAAAGAGAAAGAGATAGCGAGAGAGAGATACAGAGTAAGCGATGGAGGGAGAGAGCAGAGAGAGAGAGAGAGAGAGAGAGAGAGAGAGAGAGTGAAAGAGTGCAAATGTTCGAAAAATGAAAAAAGTAGCGGTTGCGTATTTAAATAAAAGAAATCGGAAATTTATCTTTAGGTATTTCGTAAATAACAAGTATTCTGCAATCTCTAAATTAAGCTCAATTAAAAAGCACAATTTCGAAAAGTGTTATTTGCGACTTCAAAAATTGGGATTTTACGCCTTCTAAATTTAAAAATAATGTTGAGAAGGCGTAGAGCAGAACAATTTGGCACCAATGAAAATAAAAAGAAAGATAAAGTTTTTGAAGGTTCAAAAAGTTCAAAGAACATCCAAAATTGGCCAGCCCTTTTGCAGCGTCGTTGCTGTTTCTAGTTAGGGTCCGCAACAGGGAGAGAGTAAAACCCGAAAGAGGACAAATTCGTATCTGGCGAGAGAGGGCCCTGTGTTTTTTGAATGGCCCGGAGCGAGAACTGAAGTGAAAGTGGTGGGTCTCGTAATGAGAGAGGGCTAGTCTATATCTTTCCACGCTCTCTCTCTCTATCTCTCTCTCTCTCGCCTCATCATTTCCATTTTCCCACCGTTCCTTATTCCCCGGGCCGGCGTATCATCCGCCATTCCACGCTAGATTCGAGGCGCTTCAGGCTTTTAGCTGGGAAATTATCGAGGCTATAGCTGGAAAAGTGCCAGGAGGCGCTTAATTTATTTTTAGAATGGCCTAGAAAGCGCTTTATTTCCTTTAGAAGTCGAGGGAAACTAGCAGTGGTTATTTAAGAATTATGGCGCGAGCTAGCAGAGATCATTTGGGAATGGAAGGGGTAGGCTAGCAGAGATCAATTGGGAATGGAAGGGGTAGGCTAGCAGAGATCAATTGGGAATGGAAGGGGTAGGCTAGCAGAGATCAATTGGGAATGGAAGGGGCAGGCTAGCAGAGATCATTTGGGAATGGAAGGGGTAGGCTAGCAGAGATCAATTGGGAATGGAAGGGTAGGCTAGCAGAGATCAATTGGGAATGGAAGGGTAGGCTAGCAGAGATCAATTGGGAATGGAAGGGGCAGGCTAGCAGAGATCATTTGGGAATGGAAGGGGCAGGCTAGCTGAGATCTCTTGGAAACTCGTTTGACGATCAAAATGACCATAATCTGTTGCCAACCTCATATTTTGATTACCCCTAATCTCGATGTCTTGAACGTACACTGTGCTCCAATTTACGCAACCCAATTGTCGCCATTGTCCCCGGTTTTTCTATCGATTATATGCCTTTTTGCGAAGCCTCAAAAGCCATTGAACTCGGGATCACTGTAAAAATGATGTATCGCGTTTTGAAGGAACGTTGAAGCTTGAGAAAATCCGCTTTGCCTGATTTTTTTGTCATGATAAAACCTGAAGATTCCTACCGTATTGACCGGAATGGTGACGGTCCCTCCGCCGGCCAGGATCCCCATGTTTCGATTTTCCGGGGATTTGGATTACCCTAGAAATTAGTTTTTAGTGAGGAAGAGAGAGAGAGAGAGAGAGAGAGAGAGAGAGAAAAGAGGGAGAGAGAAAGAGAGAGAGAGAGAGAGAGAGAGAGAGAGAGCCAGCAATAAAGTAACCTGAAAAAAAAGCCGAAATGCACAGGGAAATCTTGAAAATTGTTGTCCAGACGAGCCGAACCCGAAGCGTCCCTACGCATAGCCGTTAATGCATTTTTAGTTTGTGCACCCACGAGGCGGAAAAAAGGAGCTTTGTGTAAAATTTGGCAGCTAGCCAAAACCCGAAATTCTGGCCAAGGGCAGGCTAGCAGAGATCATTTGGGAATGGAAGGGGCAGGCTAGCCGAGATCATTTGGGAATGGAAGGGGCAGGCTAGCAGAGATCATTTGGGAATGGAAGGGGCAGGCTAGCAGAGAACATTTGGGAATGGAAGGGGCAGGCTAGCAGAGAACATTTGGGAATGGAAGGGGCAGGCTAGCAGAGATCATTTGGGAATGGAAGGGGCAGGCTAGCAGAGATCATTTGGAAATGGAAGGGGCAGGCTAGCAGAGATCATTTGGGAATGGATGGGGGCAGGCTAGCAGAGATTCTATGAGAATCCTATGCCAATCATCCCGGTTTTTATACACCCGGAAGCGCATCGCACTTGCAAATCCCCTCCAAATCCTCTAAACTAACCCAGTTTCCGAGTTATGCAGGAAAATTGTGAATACGTGTAGAGTACAGGTGTGGAAAATGGTCCCGAACGGAATCACCCCGCTTGGCCAATCCACAGAAAGTGGGACGGGCAAAAAAATAAGGCCAAATCCGGGCTGGGCATCCGGTCGGGTCGGCTGGGAAAGATTATGACGGGACTGAGAAGGAATAAATCTGGTGAAGAGGATCTCCCCGACCGCTCAAAAAGTGATGTTATTTGCTGTCGAGTTGGGAAAAATTTGTGCCCGCTTTTGCTGAATTCATGGAGGGAATCGGATTTGGGTCGAGTGCATTTTAAAGGGCCGTGGAAGGATAAGAGGGGCTGGATTCAAGGGGGAAATAAATGTCAAGGGAAATCTGCGCTTTAGGGCTTTGTATTCTGTTTTTTTTTCGACTTTGTCATAGTCTGAATCCATAATCTGGGCCATCCCTTTTTTGAAGGAATTTGGGGCGGGCTGACGAATCCGACAGCTAGGGCGAAGGGGTAGGCTGGGAGAGATGATTTGGGGAAAATCTCTGGGCTGAAAACAAGGCAGGCGCGCAGAAACCGTTTGCGTAGCCTCAGCTTCGTAGCGTAGCGTAGCGTACCCAAGCCAAGCAATCTAGCAAAGATTCTCATGGAATCCTACTATCCTACTATATATAAAAAAATAGTGTTTGTGTGTGTGTGTGTGTATATTTGCATGCACTTCCGTTAGGATGTTCCGCTCCTACAGCCTCGGGGAAGGGTTTTTTGGATAGGGAAGAAGCGACAATGGGTTTAGAATGGTCCGGAATCGACTGCACACACATAAAAATTTTGAAAAATTGTGGTTTTCGCTATTAAAAATAGGTTTTTGTAAAACCCGCTTTGTTAGGGGCAATTAGCATACGCCGGAAGTGGAAATAGCCTATATATCGGCGAAGAGAGGGCGTTTTCATTTTTTCCGTACCGGAGTTGGGGAGAAGCATGCAAATCAAAAACTTTCACAGGACCCAGTTGCAGAGCGTTCAAAAGACGCGGAGGATTTTCAAAAATTGCCATTTTCGCTGTTAAAATCAGGTTTTCTTGTGAAATTTCTAACCCCCCCCCCCCGCCACTTTGTGGGCTATTTGCATATTGCGCAAGGGTATTGGCCGGTTTTCTCCATGCCGTTACTGCGATGGGTGCGTTTTGAAAATCTTCGCGAGAGTTAATCCGGTCCGGGGTGGTCTGCCAGGTGGCTAAGAAACTTTTTGGTGCTTGCCTGTTAAAGGGGATGGGAGGATAAATTTTTCTCCAGCACGATACGGACCATAGGAACATGCCTACGGATATTGTCACACTTTACGTGATTTCTTTCCGAACATAGCACAACGAACATTTGCATTCGGAAGTCGACCGTGATAAACATCTGTATGACGGTATAAAATGAACGAGGGCGATACATCCTACTAGACCTCCGAACCCCCCTAAACCCCTAACTAGGGGGGTTGGGAGGGGGGTTGCAGGGGGTTCGGAGGGGGTTGGGAGGGGGTCCTTAGAGGGGTTCGCCCGGTGAAATGATATACATATATGAAGATCTTTTCAATTTTTTGGCCTTTTAATCAATTAAAATAAGTAAAAACTATCAGACAATAGTTTACAACCCCCAGGTGAATATATTTTCAGCTATTTTGGCCCCTCAATTCGTGTTTCCCGAGTGCTTTTTAGCAATTCTAACCGGTTCCCACCGGGTTTTTTTGTCGGTAATGTGGTTAGCAAGCACCAATGGTTGTCCTACAATCTTTACAGCACAAATTTATAATGTTTCGATAAGTTTTTACAGTTCTTTTCACCAAAATTGTCCTAAAAATTGAGTTTCATGGGCAGTTGACCGCATCTGAATGATTGTTTATATTTTCGAGTCAGGTGAATCATTTATAAACCACATCTGAGCCCAAAAACCGCGTTATTTGACTAATTGCGCCAAAAAACTATGGGTGCGCCAAATTGGGGCTTAGGGGTTGGGAGGGGGTTGTAGGGGGTTCGGAGGGGGGTTTTTAGGGGGTTGGGAGGGGGTTGTAGGGGGGTTCGGAGGGGGTTTTAGGGGTTGGGAGGGGGTTGTAGGAGGGTTCGGAGGGGGTTTTTAGGGGTTGGGAGGGGGTTTAGGGGGTTGGGAGGGGGTTGTAGGGGGGTCCGGAGGGGGTTTTTAGGGGGGTTGGGAGGGGGGTTGTAGGGGGTTCGGAGGGGGTTTTAGGGGGTTGGGAGGGGTTGTAGGAGGGTTCGGAGGGGGTTTTTAGGGGTTGGGAGGGGGTTAGGGGGTTGGGAGGGGGGTTTAGGGGTTCGGAGGGGGTTTAGGGGGTTCGGAGGGGGTTGGAAGGGGGTTCGGAGGGGGTTTAGGGGAGGGGGGGAGGGAGGGGTTCGGGAGGTCTTCATCCTACTA